AAATAAAGTACAAGTATCTCAAAATTGTACCCAAGTATAGTACTTGAGTTTATGAACTTAGTTACTTTACACCACTGGCTATACAGATAGAAAGACTAAGCCTTGCACAGAGGCATGAAAATACATTTTCAAAATGCTCAACAGTGCTGCCAAAATTATAAACTGACTGCTACACAATTCAAATAAATGCTTTTATACATTTCTATTAGATGTGACTCTTTGGCGTTTCTGTTATTATTAACTGCTTTAGTTGTTCTGACTGCTAACATCCTGTTATTCCTCATTTTAAAGCCGATATTCGGGGGGGTCGGATCCTTGTCACCTTTTTCATACCTGATGAGTTTGCATCCCTGGCCACAAGAGTTTGTATTCTTTATTTTTTAATATTCAAGCTCTTCTCTTAAGATATTATAACTTCTCAACATGTATCCTTTTATGCATTAAAAAAACCTTACATTTTTGCTGCCAATTATTGAGATTGTTTCACAGCTTTATCTTAAATATTTAGACTTTTTTTCTATACATATAGATTACATAGGATGAACAGCACGATCCACTCTGCTGGATTCTGCCCAAATCGGCTCAAAATGCATGCAAACATCTGGCTTTATCCATACTCCTGCAGTTGTATTGTTCTGGATTCATAGTGAAGTGTATTAGAAGTTCTGCACTCTTATTGTTATGTATTTAATATAAAGTGAAATACCCATAAAGTCAGTAAAGAAAAGAGTCTCACTTAAGGAAAAAGGTTCTTCATTTGCACATAAACATGGTCAAATATTTAAAGTTGTGACCAGATGGTGTCGCCCTAATCCGTGTATCTACGGTCCATTTGTTTTTCTTTATTACACAAGTTAGCGGAAGAGCATCTGAGAGGCCTTTTTGTTTTTGTTGTTTTACCTCACTAAATGGTCTAATGCTCATTGGAGCGAGGGGCGGGGCGAAACTCGCGGAAGTGATTTCAAAACAAAAGCCCTCGTTTGCTTGGAACGGTGATAATATTATAAACAAGGTGAATTTAGCGATCACAACGAAAACGGCCAAGACACATATTGAGCCCAGAAAATGAATGTTATTAAGGGCTGTAAATATAATAGGCCTGTGTCTAAAATGGACAACATTGTTAGGAGATTTAAACTATACAGCGATTCTGCACTGCGGTCACTCAGCCGTCTCTCGAGTTTGTTTTTTCAAATCAGCTGCTCTTCATGCTGACGCTTAGAGAGCACCAGAACGCGGCTCCGGCTCTTCAGATAAGGAGCTGTACACATGCCGCAGTTTTTGCGTGGCTGTGTCTTTAGTTGTAAGCCCAGTGGCGATCTGCTCATCTGTCATACTGATCATACAGTCAATAACTTTGTTGTTATTAGCATCTGGTTAGCGAGCTATGCTAACGAATATAAGAAGCTTTTTCTCCAACCAGTGAGGTAAAGGCACATCTTTATATGATCACTATAGTTATAAAAACACAAGAGAATAAAGTAAACAGGTATAAAATACTATATGACAGTAAAAAAAAGTTGTTAATAAACAAGAATACAGTTTGAAAGGGGAGTGATTTGTAAAATATCCATAAAGAAAAGTAAATGTGCTTCCAGTTCTGTTTCATATGAGTGTTGAGAGATGTATCCATAGAGCTCTTCATGTTGCTCTCAAAGTGCACCAGATTAATGCTTTTAACTTCAACATTTAAAAAAAAATCTTCCCCCCCGGAGAGGAGGTTAGGTCCCCCCCCCCCACTTAAATCATGTTCACATGGATAGGAAACTAAATACATTTGCACACATCTTGTGTCCATATATCTTTGCACAGCATGAAAGAAAGGCCAAATGAATGGGCTGTGATTTTAGTTTTTTTAAGCAGAGGTCAATAATTTGTACGGTCCTCGGAGGATGTTGAAAAAATTGAAATGGCCCTCGAGAGGAAAAAGGTTCCCCACCCCTGCTCTAATGGAAAGAAAACTTCCAAAAAATACATATAAATGGTGTTTGTTTTATTACCATGTCTGAATGTATCTATAGATTTAAAGCTAATCTGCATTTAAACATAACATTTCAGGGGAAAATACTGACTTGACGTAAGTAAGTATGTGGGGAAGTTGTGAGGTGATATCAGTGGCGAGCCGTGAGCTTTATACCTAGGCCCTCTGACCCCCACCAATTCCCTTGAAAAAAAGAAAAAAAAAGAGTTATTACGTCACAGCGTATACTTCAGCGGAATATCAAAACAACGGCCCAGGGTGCAAAACGCATCAATGACAGCGACCCTCTACCACACAAAACAACACCTGTGAACCCAATTTGTGTTCTTTGACATTGAAAATGATATTGCATTGTGTTTGTTACTTTCGTTGCAGTTGTATGTCTTAAGTGTAATTTGGCATGCTTTTATTTTGAATGCGAGTTCAAGCTGTTGACAGGAAGTTGTTGTTGCTATGGAAACAAGAAACGTTTCACAGCGGGCGGAACTTGTCATAAAGTCCGTGATAATCAAACCCACCTATTTAGAGGGAAGATATGATTGGTCAATTGTACTGTCATTTGACATTACTCTCTCGTTGAGTTACTATAGCGGGCCCTCTGTGAATCGCAGAGAGGGCCAGACGAGCTTCTTTCATGTAACCCTTCACATTCAACAGAGACTGAACAGGCAGATTCGAAGGATTTATTTCTTTGGAAATGTTATTTTAAATATAATTAAATCAAGTTTTTTTTTCGGTAAAACTAATGAAAAATATAACAATAATATAAAAAATATATATATTTAAAAAATATATATTTTTTTTAAATGTTTTTAAATATTATTTTTTAGAATATGTTAGGCCCTCACAGAGGGCCTAGAGGGCCCTGATGGCTCGCCACTGGGTGATATGTTTTTTGTTTGTTTTTTAGTTTTATCCTTTTAACCTGCAATGCCTTGGTAACTGCATGCAAATTAGCCCATTTTAATTAAGATAAGATAAGAAATGAGATAGTACTTTATTACTAGTGTACTAGTTAACGCCTAATACCTGTCTGTCTGAAGGAACAGTAAAGTGGGAGGTGCTGCTGCCTGTCTGTCTGAAGGGACAGTAAAGTGGGAGGTGCTGCTACCTGTCTGTCTGAAGGGACAGTAAAGTGGGAGGTGCTGCTACCTGTCTGTCTGAAGGGACAGTAAAGTGGGAGGTGCTGCTACCTGTCTGTCTGAAGGGACAGTAAAGTGGGAGGCGCTGCTACCTGTCTGTCTGAAGTGACTGGTGTGAGGTGCTGCTACCTGTCTGTCTGAAGGGACAGTAAGGTGGGAGGTGCTGCTACCTGTCTGTCTGAAGGGACTGTAAGGTGGGAGGTGCTGCTTCCTGTCTGTCTGAAGGGACTGTAAGGTGGGAGGTGCTGCTACCTGTCTGTCTGAAGGGACTGTAAGGTGGGAGGTGCTGCTACCTGTCTGTCTGAAGGGACTGTAAGGTGGGAGGTGCTGCTACCTGTCTGTCTGAAGTGACTAAGGTGGGAGGTGCTGCTACCTGTCTGTCTGAAGGGACTGTAAGGTGGGAGGTGCTGCTTCCTGTCTATCTGAAGGGACTGTAAGGTGGGAGGTGCTTGCTACCTGTCTGTCTGAAGGGACTGTAAGGTGGGAGGTGCTGCTACCTGTCTGTCTGAAGGGACTGTAAGGTGGGAGGTGCTGCTTCCTGTCTATCTGAAGGGACAGTAAAGTGGGAGGTGCTGCTACCTGTCTGTCTGAAGTGACTAAGGTGGGAGGTGCTGCTACCTGTCTGTCTGAAGGGACTGTAAGGTGGGAGGTGCTGCTACCTGTCTATCTGAAGGGACTGTAAGGTGGGAGGTGCTGCTACCTGTCTGTCTGAAGGGACTGTAAGGTGGGAGGTGCTGCTTCCTGTCTGTCTGAAGTGACTGCCGATGTCCGCACCGCTGTGCGCGAGACGTGGAGGGAGGGAGGGTAGAGGGATTATCGCTCAGGTTTTATCAGTGGACTGTGGACTTGCTTTGTGATTTAGGATTTTGGTTTCCCCCTTACTCACTATTTTTTGCCGCGTTTTAATTAGCTGTTCATTTACTCCCATGGTTACAATGATGATGCTTTGTTTTCACTCTTCAGTGGGCGGGGCCGTCATTTTGGGCAGGATGTGACGTAGTGCTGCTTGCCCTGAAGATGCTCTAAAAGTACTTTTTGATTAAAATAAAACAGGAACATCATGTTCCGAACATGTATGTGATGTGTAAACGCAGATGATGGATTGCCCCTGTGTATTCAAATGTAAACAGAAAGCAATCATCAATATAGAGTTGTGGATTCAAAATGGCAGGAAAATCATAATGTGTGCTGGTCACTAAAATGAAATATTAGGTCATTGCCAGGGGTTATCACTACAAACCAAGTCCATGGATCGAATAATCCTATTTAAATATATTGGTTGGTTGATGTACAGGAGAAATTATATTATATACAGTATATATATATAATATTGACATTAAATGTGCTTTATTTTGTAAGGTGTTTCTTTGGTTTTGAATGGTAAGCTTTAAAAAACACATCATTACACATATACTGGGCTGTGATGAGGATGGATTATGATTACATGCTTTATTAAGCAGCAGTTAAAAGTACCACACAAAAACTGGACAGAATACAATGGAGAACAATGAGATTACTGTGGGTTCCCTTACCCATACAACTGTACTATTTGGTATGCCAGAAACAGATTAAGTCATTAAGCAAAACCTACAAGTCTGCCCTACTGCATATTGCAGTGTGGAAGCCAGCATATGTATATGGCTATTCTGACCCACAATACTTCGAGCAAGAGGGCAAAGGTAAAGATGCAATGTTGTGATGAAGTAGTGCAGTGGTGCCCTCTGGACCTGATAGTGCAGCAACACAAATTGCATAATGCATAATACCAATTGAGATTTAATAAAAAATCTTACATTGAAATAAATAGTTACGTTCTTTATAACTACGCATAAAGATACAAAAGAGAAAAAATTTTGTTAAATCTAGTTAAATCTTGCAGGAATTCCTGTAAAAAATGTAACATACTTAATTACATTCTTGACTTTACATGTTATACTCAATTAGTATCTCTACATATTTATTAGAAGAGATCAAAGCATTTTCATTTAGTCATTCCTGGCTCACTGATGGAGAATTGAATCACATGTGTCATCTGGATCCAGACGTTTCTTTTTCATCAACTCTTTGGAGCTCACTGTGAAAACTTTGAAACATTCCTCACTGAATTGTTTCAACAACAAAAGAGTTTCAATATCAAAGCAGGTTTGCAGTTTGGGACAATATTTGTGTTTTTGTATTCAATATAACTCACCTTAACGTCTTTTAGTTTGCTGAATTCTGCCTTCACGTCTATCTTGGCTTGCTCGTTTTGTTTTAGTATCAGAGCACGAACATCAGCTGCTGACCTATAGGAAAAGATTTGTATTTGAAGAATGACATGAACTGCATATATATTCCAGGATATGATATCACTACGCATCTCCATCTTGCTTTCAATGACCAATGATCACATAGCTTCATCCAGCATCACTAAGTGTTTGTGAAGCAACAACATTAGGACAGAAATAAATGGCTGAGATGTTGAGGAATCAATGCAGGCATTTTAGAAACACGGATACTGTTATGATCATGGATACCCTGGTTGATCCTGTTTCAAGTGAACATTATATCCCTGAATACCATCCACACCAGGATACTAATGTGCCTGTAAACGTAATCAATGTTTCCATGGTTTCTCCTCTTGGCCATCAGTGTCTAAATTGGATGGTACATTTAACTGTGTACTTTTGCATCTTAAACCACTTACTGATCATCTGAACCTCCAAGACTATCAGACTTGGTGCAGATCAAATGAATCTGCTGACACTCGCGACCATTTCCCATGAGGCTGCAGGATTCTTCCAGGATCTCCCAGGATTCTTTTTCAGAAGCTGCTCGATTGATCTCAGCCACAATCCACACAGTAGAACAACTTCCAACAACCTGGAGGGGAATACAGAAAATAATAACGGTTACGTTGTCAGTGTTTCACAATAATCAGCATTGCGTGTGGATAAATCACCTTTTTCCACATTGTGTCTCTGGTCTTGTTACGGTCCCGGTTTCCAGGAAGATCCACAAGTGTGACGTGCTGGAGAAGACCCTTCTTCGGCCCCCTGACAGTCACACACTTCACCAGTAGCCAATAGTACTTCTTCACATCTTTAGCAACACACTCTCACTCCCTAAGCGTCCAGGAGCGACTCTTGGTCAGGGTCCCGAGGCGTGCAGTTGGGACGCGGCGAGGCTCCTTCAGCTTCATAAACGGACGCAAAGAGCTTTCAACTGATTGCAATGTATTCCCATCAGCGTCGGTATTTGACGCTTAGGGAAGCACGGCATTCGTTTGTGTCGGAGGTTGTTAAAGGCAATGTGACCGTCCATTCCCATTGGATAACGGAGAATTGTACACAAGGAAGTAAGTATTCCCCTTACTGTCGATTGATTTGACAGTGATATCTCCACTACTCATCAACTCAAAAACACCAGATTACTGTATCCTTGTTAATTAAACGACATTGATAGGTTTTAGTGTGTGTACAATGCTTTTGCCACGTTTTCCCCTTCAATTCTGACAAACAAGTCGTTTTCTATGAGTTTTGGATGGCCGAAGACATTACATTACCCACAATCCTCTGTAGCAACCATAGACTGTATAAAATAATTAAATAATACATTATTCCGAGTGTGCTTGCTTTTCTCTTTGAAAGTCATCACATAACGGCATTGTAATACACGTTTCGGCTGCATTAAATATGACATATCTGCCGTAGTTAACTCTGCCCTGATGACAAGACTTCTAGACAAACAGGAACTGCCGCCAAAACTGAAAACTTGACGTGGATCTTAAATATATAAGCAATTAAACAACATCTTACATTTCTTTTCACACAATACGTCTCCTTGCCGTATCAACACTAATTCGGCTGACTTTTATATTTGATCCAATTGGTAGATAGGCTGTATTTACGCCATATTGAGCCCAGAAAATGAATGTTATTAAGGGCTGTAAATATAATAGGCCTGTGTCTAAAATGGACAACATTGTTAGGAGATTTAAACTATACAGCGATTCTGCACTGCGGTCACTCAGCCGTCTCTCGAGTTTGTTTTTTCAAATCAGCTGCTCTTCATGTGATGCATGATGGTATCTGGGTTCATATCTTGAAGCTACCTTACAACACATTTCATGATCACTACACAGTCGACAATAACAGTTAGAAGATGTAATCATTGAACTTAACCATTGCTTACTGAGACTTCAGAGGAGGGGAATAGATGTGCAGTTATGCTGGGTGCCTGCACATGAGGGGGTTCAAGGGAATGAGCATGCTGATAAGTTAGCAAAAGAGGCGTTACAGAAGGAAATAGCAATACCAGTTTCACTTGGAAAAGGAGAAGGAATGATGATGATGAGGATGATATGGTGATACACACTCTTGTACAGTAGGTGGCGGTATGCACCTTAAAGTTGTTTGCAATCCGCCAAAAACCGAGAGAAGAAGAAGAAGAAGAAGAAGAAGAAGAAGAAGAAGAAGAACCTGAGAGGAAGAGGTGATCGTGGTCTGCCGTGTGTGGAGTGTGAGATTGAGAGCAGCTGGTGGAATGGCGTCTTTGAGCCCTGGAGAGGAGGATATGGAAAGTGCATCTGAAGGAGAAGGAGGATGGAATGAAGTAAGGAAAAAGACTTCAAGAAAGAAGATAGACATGTCAAGTGACAGTCTTAGTGAATCTGATTCGCAGAATGAATTGAAGAAAGTAAAGAAAAGGATTGAGAATGAAGAGTGGAAAGTGATTGTGGAGTTTGGTGAGCAATCCGCAGCTAAGCTACATCCAGTGGCCCTGACTAAAGCCATTCACAAAGAAATTGTATCGATAAAGCAAGCAAGATTTCTGAGCAAAGGACGGATGTTGGTTGAAATGATGAATGCAAAACAACAGGAAAAGTTACTGAAAATGAAGACCCTGAATGAAGTTCGAATTAAATGCCATGTTCCTGGAGCAAATCGGAAAATACTTGGAGTTATCAGTGGAGTTCCGATAGAAATCGGCATAGAAGAACTCAAGAAAGAAATTAAAGGGGGAAAAGTGTCTGTAGTTAAGCGTCTTCCTACTAGGTATCAGGGTAAGATAGTGGATAGTTTGTCTGTTCTTCTTCAGTTTGAAGAAACAATTCAACAGAAGATAATGATCGGTTGCATGAGCTTTCCAGTAAGAGAATTCATCCCTAAACCTCTGCGCTGCTTTAAATGCCAAAGGTTTGGGCATGTGGCAGACAAGTGCAAAGCAACTAAGCCCAGGTGTCCAACATGTGCGGGGGAACATGAATATGATAGTTGTGCTGCAGGTGCTAAGGTGAAATGTTGTAACTGTGGTGGGGAACATAGTGCTGCGTATCAGGGCTGCCAAGTGCAGAGAAAGGCCAAGGAGGTGCAGAGATACAAAGTGCAGAGAAAGGCCAAGGAGGTGCAGAGATACAAAGTGCAGAGAAAGGCCAAGGAGGTGCAGAGATACAAAGTGCAGAGAAAGGCCAAGGAGGTGCAGAGATACAAAGTGCAGAGAAAGGCCAAGGAGGTGCAGAGATACAAAGTGCAGAGAAAGGCCAAGGAGGTGCAGAGATACAAAGTGCAGAGAAAGGCCAAGGAGGTGCAGAGATACAAAGTGCAGAGAAAGGCCAAGGAGGTGCAGAGATACAAAGTGCAGAGAAAGGCCAAGGAGGTGCAGAGATACAAAGTGCAGAGAGAGACCAAGGAGGTGCAGAGATACAAAGTGCAGAGAAAGGCCAAGGAGGTGCAGAGATACAAAGTGCAGAGAGAGACCAAGGAGGTGCAGAGATACAAAGTGCAGAGAGAGACCAAGGAGGTGCAGAGATACAAAGTGCAAAATAAAGTCTCATATTCTGAAGCAACAGAAAAGGTATCACTAAACATAGCTAGGAAATCCCAAGGAGCAGCAAGTATATTCTCTTCAAAAGATTTTCCCAAACTCCCACAGGCAAAGGAAAGCTCCACAAAGTGTTCTCATAAGTGCGTGATAGGAGAGGATGCATTGATTGTTAATAAGTACACATGTGTGGCCTTTATTGGAAAAGTGGTGAATGTTGCTTTGCAACAAACAAAAAAGAGGTCAAGACTGAAAACAATAGTGGAAGCAGCAGGTGCTTCTTTGGGGATAAAGGATATAACGGTTGAAATGATACATGATATGCTAGCCCCCAATAATGATGATTCACAGATTAGTGAGTAGATTGATGGTTGTTCTCATTCTGCAGTGGAATGCTAGAAGCCTTATTGCAAATGGACAAGAATTCAAGACCTATATATATCAGTTAAAAGAAAAACGAGACGTTATTTGTATTCAAGAAACATGGCTGAAGACTCATTTGGACTTCATTATTGGGGGATATAGTGCTATAAGACAAGATATAAATGATGGTCAGGGGGGGGGATGTGCAATCTTTATCAGAGAAGTCATGTCTTATAGTAGGCTAACATTTAAGAGCAGTCATGATTTAGAAATAGTGGGTGTAGAAGTTTGGATTAATAAAAGGAAAATTAGTGTCCTGAATCTTTATAATCCATGTAATAAACTCAAAATAGAGGAATTAGACAGTCTTTGTCAAGGAAATGAAATAATATGGTGTGGTGATTTGAATGCACATAATACAATGTGGGGAGGGAGATCAACAGATTACAACGGACAGGTGGTGGAGGACTTAATGGAGACAAAGGAATTAGTTTGTTTAAATAATGGGCAAGGTACAAGACTCAATTTTAGAGATGGAACAGAGTCTGCGATCGATCTAACTCTGGTAACAAGTGAATTAGCTTCTGGTAGCAGTTGGGAAGTATTGGCAGATAACAGTATTGGGAGTGATCATCTTCCGATTATAATCAAGTGTGATATAAGTAATGTGGTTGAGCTAGACGGTATCATGAGATGGACTTTCTCTAAAGCAAATTGGGAGATGTTTGCTAAATTGTGTGATAATGAATTTGATCAGATTGATATGGCAGGAAGTATTGATGAAATAAATGAGCAATTTACTTCAAATATAATTAAAAGCGCTAATCAATCTATTGGGAATAAAACTGGTGAACTTAGTAAATGTGTTAAGATGGTACCGTGGTGGAACAAAGAATGTAATGATGCAATCCGAAACAAAATCAGGCTGTTTGGAAAGCTAAGAAAGACACATTCATTACACAATGTATTAGAATATAAGAAGGCACAGGCTCAGGTAAGGAACATTGTTAAAAGAGCAAAAAGGGAGTGTTGGAGAGGATTCTGTTCAAGTATTGGGAGAACTACGCCATTAGATAAAGTATGGGGAATGATTAAGAAGATGAGGGGAATTAGACAGCAGAGTAACCTGCCAGTGTTAGAGACTGGAGGGAAGTTGGTGCTATGGAGAAGGCAGACATTCTAGCTACAAATGTTGTCAAAGTTCATTCTTCTGAACATTTGACAGAAGAAGGTAAGATCAGGAGGCAGGAAGTGTTAGATGAGCATCCTAATGTATATGAAGAAACACATTCGTCGCAGAGTGTTGTAAATGTACCTTTTTCTATTCAAGAGTTGAGAAGAGCATTAAGTAAGTGTAAAATGACTGCTCCTGGGAAAGATAATGTATGTTATATCATGTTGACCAAATTAAGTGATTTTGCATTAGGAAAGCTGTTGGAGATGTATAATAAGATTTGGGAGAAAGGGAAGCTGCCAATAATATGGAAAGAGTCTGTCATTATTCCTATTAGAAAACCTGGGAAAGATCCAACCAGTCCAGGCAGTTATAGACCTATAGCTCTGACATCGCACTTGTGTAAAGTTATGGAAAGAATGATAACAAAAAGGCTGACATACTACGTTGAGAAAAATGAACTAATGACTCCTTATCAGAGTGGGTTTAGAAGAGGGAGGAGTGCTTTAGATCCACTGCTGTGCCTGGAATCTGAAGTTAGGAAAGCCCAAGCGAATAAGGACTGTGTTGTAGCTGTATTCTTTGATGTGGAAAAAGCTTACGATATGATGTGGAAGGAAGGATTATTAATTAAACTGGACATTATGGGTCTGGGAGGTAATGTATATAATTGG